CTTTCCTTTAGAAATATCTGTAAGTTTTGTTGTTATATTTTTGTCAACGTCAAGAACTTTCACCATTTCAGTTATACCAACTTTCTTTGCTTTATGAAATATTTTGGTTCAGCAAATATTGCTTTCTATAACATTTACCATTGTTTGTATAAAGAACTATTCTGTCAATGTATTTGTATTGTTTGTGTGTGTAAACTTTGTTCTGCTTCAATTCAAAGAGATATCCGAATACGTCCATCTTTTTATTCTAAGTAAAATGTCATTTCCGAAAAATAGAAGCGTAAGTGTTTCAAAAGGTTTAATGGCGGTGGCAGATGTGAAGTTAAATTCACCAACTCAAACAAACAGTCAAAGTGTTATTGTCAATGTCAAAGACAGAGATGTTGAAGTGGGGAAACCATACGAAGACGAAGATGGTATAACAATTGTTCCTGTAAAAGAACAACCAACATATCCTGAAGTTAGCAGAGACTTAAGTTCTGTTGCAGATATTCGAAACGACTACCAACAACTGAAAGACAAACTTCAAACTCAGGAGAAGATTTGTCAAGCTTTAGGTATAATGTTAAACTTGGTCGAACACAACCCTGTAAAAGTGAACTCATATGTCATTGCACCTCATGAAGTCTTGAAAGAACTATTGAAACTTTTGACAGAGGCAGACGATATAAACATCAAAGAAATAGAACCCGACATTAGTTGCTGTGGTGTTTCATATAATGTCATTGACAAGATATACGTTATGAAAGGAGGTGAAACGTTGAACTTAAAGTATAGTTTCCCAGACGTCATAAAAATATTTGACGACCACAACATTTCATTAAAATTTATTTGCTAAGTAAAAATGTCAAAACTTCTTGAAAGATGTTTGAAGAAAAATAATATAGACTTTATTTCATGTAAAGGACTTTACACACTTTTGAACGATATGAAAGACCCTGTTTTGTTTGTTCGTGTAGACAAAGGAAAGTTCTATGTCTTTACAAAATATTTGAACTTCTTAGACAGAGAACTTCAAGAAACGCCATGTGAAAGTTTAGATGAAGTTCTTCTCCACTTTCAGAAAAACTTTTAAATATATATAAATGGCAGAAGATATAATGGTTTATACTATTACGACTAAAAACCCTGAGTCATATAATTCTATAACAACAAACTTACAAAGTCCTCAAGGACGGTATTGTAAACTAACTTTAAACACAATGACGACTAAAGCCTGTTTTGCTCTTTTGACACCAGAAGACTTTATTGTTGTGAATGGTAAAAAATACTCCTTTGAAGATACTTACTCAGATATACCACCAACAGGTTTTGTTGACTTATTTAATACTTTAAGTACGGGTGTAACATGTGCTGCAACTAGAGCAGGTTTCATTATGTTTGGATGTCCGACTGAGTTTACTATAAACAATATGAGCTATAATACAAAACTTATTTCTGGTTTTTACTACCAACAGTTTCCTATAACAGGAAAAGGTGTCATACAAGGAATGTCTATTCCATTGACATTAAGCACACCAATCTTATATATTGTTTCAAACTTAGGTTCAAAGTGTTATTCGAATGTCGACAGAAACTATTATGACCAAAAGATACTTATGCGTATAAACAATACTTTCTCTGCTGGTTTGCCTATTGTTCATTCGAATGCAGAATTTTCAACCTTAGTGAACTCAAACACTTTGGCAAGTATAACGTTGACATTAGTTGACGCAAACTTTGTTCCTGTAAAACTTTTATGTCCTATGTATTTGTCAATGACGGCAGAAAGTTTCGAATTGGAAGATGCAACTGGTGAAAGTATTGTATTACAAGAACAACTTCAACAACAAATAGCTCAAGAACAACAAATGCAACAAATGCAACAACAAAGTCAAGAATATAAAAAAAATATTTTTTTTTATTTTTATAAAAATGTACAGAATAGATGTTTCAGATTTTTATGACTTCCAAGCATTCAGAAATATGTGTCCATTTAGAGACTATAACAAAGCAGTCGAGAATTTGAAACGTTTAGTCATTTATGTCGACTCTGCCCAGAATGTTATGTCATGAAAGAATGGGATGTAGTCTTTAACAAACCTAAAGCGACAATAGTTTCAGAACAAGAATGTAGACAGAAACTTAAGAAAATAAAAGTCGTACAAGTTGGCATGAAGATGTTAGATGCTTGGGATATCTTATTGTCAAAGTTAGAAGATTTTTCAGTTCGAGGTATAAAGCTTTATACACCTTCTCCAAACTTCTATTCTATCTTCACTGGATATAAATACGAACAAGTAGAATTGAAAGAAAATGTTATAGAAGCTTGGTTAGACCATGTCAAAGAAATTATATGCAATGGAAACGAAAAGGTTTATGAGTATATCTTATGTTGGTTTGCAAACATCTTACAACATCCAAGTGCTAAAAATGAAACTGCTCTCATTATAATTGGAAAGCAAGGAACTGGTAAGAACACATTCTTTACAGATATTTTGTGCAAACTGTTAGAAGGTTATTCGAATCCGAATATGACAAACTTAGAAAACATCTGTGGCAAGTTTAACTCCTCAATAGAGAATATGAAACTTATAGTTTGCAATGAACTTCAAAGTATAGATACAACAAAAGTTTTGAACTCAGATGCTTTGAAGAGTCTTATAACAGACAAAGTTGGCGTTGTTGAAAGAAAATATAAAGACCAAAGAGTTTGTGAAAATGTTGCAAACTTCATTATGGTTTCAAACAATTCTGTTCCGATGAAGTTAGAAAGTTCTGAAGAAGATATGTAGTTGTCAGAACGTCAGAAGCTCATATGCAAGATACAGAATATTTTGACGACTTAGCAGAACTTTGACATCTGACTTTTACAACCACTTGTTCTCATATTTTATGACATTAGATATTTCAAAGTTCAATCCAAGACAAATTCCACATACCGAAGAGAGACAAACATTGTTAGAAGCAAACAAGAGTGTATATGAACTGTTCATAGATGAAACTGACTTTGTGTCATTAGATGAAAGGTCATTGTACGATTCGTATAAACAATATTTGTCAAGAATATGGTTATATGACAGCGTCTAAACGAACATTCTTGGCAAATGTCAAAAGTCTTTTAGATGTTCAGAATGGTGTATATACAAAGAAAATTTTTTATGAGTAAATTTTAAAAAAAATATTTTTTTTATCCGATAGAAAAGATGGCAAATTCATCTCAGTAAACAAGTACATGTCAGGACTTAAAGAAGAACTAGACCCATTCACATATTTGAATGTTTACTTCTACCATTTTGAAAAGTCTTCATTCAGCAAAGTTTGGAACATCGAACCAGTTAAGTTTGCTATTGTGACTAAAAATGGTGCGAAATTTGAAGGACTTAGACATAGAAGGTTTGTTAGCAGTCAAAGAAAGTTTTGACAGAAGGTTTTCAAACCTTAAAGAAGGCAAAGCATACAAACTTGTTATACCTTATGAACCAAAGAAGCAGGACGACTATGAATATTATGAGTCTAAAGTTGTAGAAGTTCAAGGTAAATTGGGTAAAAAGATTTTAGAGTCTAAGCCAGTGTTTGCTCTAAGGAGGAAGAGAACATTGACATTGACCCAGAAATTTCTAAAAATAAAATTTTATTTTTACATGTCAAATTTCTTCTTCGGTGGAACTGGCTCTGGTTCAGGTTCTTTCTTCTCTTCTTCTACTTTCTTTCTTTCTTTTCTCTCTTCTTCTTTTCTGGTGGAGTTATGTCAATTTTCTCCGAACCATATTTCTGTAAAAGTTCTTTGTCCTTTAATAGCTCTTCTTATTCTGTTTTCTATTTCATCTTCAAGAACAGCGCATGTGTCTTCTTTGCATTCTAAGAAATTTTGTTGACTTCATCTTTCCAAGAGGCGTCATCTCTTAACAAGTCTGTCATTGACAAATTTTAAGACTCTCTGCCTAATGTTTTTATGGTTCTTTGTCATATTCCCAGAAACAGAACTTTAGAACAAATTCACCTTTCTTGTTTACACTATGTAAGATTTTATGGTCGACAGATGTTTTTGCGTCGAAAAGCTTGTCTCGAATATAGATAGCGAAATCGCAGACATTTTCTAAAAGATAAAAATTTTAATTTTCTAAAAATATGTTAGAAAAAAGTTTGCTGACATTGACAAGAAATTTGAGAATGTTTTAAACAAGAACAAGAGGGAAGTTAGAAAATGCTCAGATAAAGCCTATACATGACAAGTTCTTATTTGCTCAGAATGGTATAACAGGTCTAATTGCACCACCTGGGTCGGGTAAGACTTTCACTTATCTTAAAATGCTGCACAACAACAAGAACTAGATGAGAAGAACCCATTCTATGAGTTAGTTGTCATTTGTAGTACTTCTGGTCAATTTGACCAAACCGTCAATTCGTTCAAAGATATTATAAAGAAGTCTAAGTTAGTATGTATAAAAGACTCTGAGTTGTTAGATTGGATAAAGAAGTACCAAAGAAGAGTTTTAAGTATAATGCTATAAATGAGTATATAAATTCTAAGTTTAAAGACCCAAATGAGGAAATGCAGAGAATTATTAGAGAAGAAACACTTCAGAAACAAACAGAAAGAGATAGAATACATTTCGAAGAAATTGCAATCTTACGATTTGGAAGACATACCCTCATAGGTGTCTTCTTATCTTAGATGACTTTGCTTCTCATCCTTTGCTTAAGAATAGAGAACAAGATATGTGTCGAATTCTTAAGAAGCTCAGACACTTTAACATCTCAGTCGTAATATGTGTACAGACAGCAAAGAGTTTAAGTAAGGATGTTAAAAGAATACTTACTGACATTGTACTTTTCCCCGGATTGTCCGAAGACGATTTCATGACTTATGAAAGAGTCCATGGCAGGTAAGTTTGACAGATATGAACTATGGGAGAAGTACAAAGTCATACAAGACCCTCATACTTCTTTCAGAATTCATATCTATGCGAACAAAGTTCAAATTGTAAAAAGTCAAGCTTGAAAAATAAAGAGTTCATTTACTCTACTTGTTTGAAGTTGTCAAAATACTCTGTTATTTTTTCCTTCAGTAGCGGTAAGTCTTCTTTGAAGGTAAGTATTGTACAACCTTTAATATCATAGTGTGTTTGAGGTAACGTATCTTGAACTATTTGTTTCACATCTTCATTCGGTGTCATTGAAATCGGTAAGTTTTCGCGATAGAACCAATTTCTGTCAGATTTGTAAATCTTAGCAAGGTCGTAAAAGCTTTTGTTGTTTCTTCTGACTAAATGCAACATAACCATATCTTTATCTTCTTCATTTTCCATCTCTTCAGTATAAATCATATACTTATAGTTCTTTTCCTTTCCTTTTGGTACCGAACGTGGTATTCTTTTCTGAATGCTTTTGTCTTTTGCTTCAATGACTTCATCTTTTGCTTGAAGTTTCTTTTCCATCTCTTCACGTTCTTGTCTATGAATTTCGTCAAGAAGTCTGTAAATATTCCAAGCATAACGAGGCGAAGCCCACATTGCAACAGCATTTACAAGAAGTCTATGTACATAATATCCTCTCAAACCGTTTGGCAATTTTTCACGATTTTCATAGAGTTTTGGCGACCCAGAAAAAAGTCGGTCTCGCTGTGCTTCGCTCAAAAGTTCAATAGTGCTTTGGTTCCTAAACCAGTCTTTAGGAAGCTTAGTATCTGGAGCATAACATGCTGTCAAAATACTTTGCATCTGGTACATATCGTCTTTGACCGAACGAATGAGACGGAGTTGTTTGTTATACTGTATGTACTCGTATTCTTCATTTATGGCTTCATGAACGATAGCAGTTGTTGTGTTCTCTGTTGTTGACATATCTGTCCTTACATACAAAATAAAAAAATAAATAAAAATAAAACTAACTTTATTTTTTTCTGTCTTAAGGAAACTCATGATTTTCATAGAGTTTTGGCGACTACGTTTTTTTACCTACTCGCTGTTCTTCACTGTTTTCATAGAGTTTTGGCGACTGGGGTTTTTTACCTACTCGCTGTTCTTCATGATTTTCGTACGGAATTCAGCAAAAATATAATTTAGGGTAGAAGGTTAGATCTAACCTCCTTTCTAACCTGTTTTTTTCACAAGCGTTTTACATGGTAAACGTTATTTTTACATTATGACACGAAGTGAAGGTTGACACTTCGTCAAAAAAATCCCTGAAATCATATCTTACATACAAAAAAATGAAAAAATAAAATGACACTTTTTCATTAGATAACTGTTATTTTTTGACGAAGTGAACATTGACACTTCGTCAAAAAAATCCCTGAAATCATATCTTACATACAAAAAAATACAAAAAAATGACACTTTTTCATTAGATAACTGTTATTTTTTGACGAAGTGAACATTGACACTTCGTCAAAAAAATCCCTGAAATCATATCTTACATACAAAATAAAAAAATAAAACTAACTTTATTTTCTGACTTTCACAAAAGACCAAAAATAAACGCTTTACATGTATTTTTCAGCAACTTCGTCAAATAATTTTATAGCTTTATCTATCTCATCTACTTCAAACGTTTCTTTACCTTTTATGGGAGCACCATATATTTTCTCAAACTTTTCAAGCAGTTCTGTTTCAGCAGCTCTCATATCATTAACGAACACAACCTTGACTCTATTGACTGTACTGTCATATCTTTGAGTTATATTATATGTTCTTCCTATCTTATATCTCTTTGTATTGAAGTCCTTCGGTTTCTGAACGATGTAAAGTAAGCCTTCACTGCAACGTTCCGTATCGAATGAACCATATGTTATGAAGTTATATCCAACAACTGGATCTAACCATAACAAAACTATTGGTATAAGACTTTTGTCTATAAGATATGCTGCAGTTCCATAGAATTTTACCGATATCATAAGCTCAGGATTTCTTGTCAAAATTTTCTGAGTAGAAGCATTTCTAACCCAGTCCTTCGGTTTCTTTCCAAATGGAGATATAATGTCTGACAAAGAATATTTGTTGTATTTCTTTGAGTATTTACGTTTAAATCACCTATTCTAACCAATTTGGTGTCATTGTCTATCTTTTTAACTGTTTCAAACTCAATGTTTGTCATTTCTGTTCTTACATACAAAATAAAAAAATAAATAAAAATAAAACTAACTTTATTTTTTATTTCGGGAAAACTCATGAAATTTGGTCATTTTTCAGCAAAAATAAAGTTTAGGTGAAGTGGTGCGATCTCACCTTTTTTCACCTCTTTTTTCACAAGCGTTTTACATGAATTGTACGATGTATATTTGAAATCCTAAACAGTTTTGTAGCCTCTATTTCTTCTTTTAGTACATCGAATGTTTTAACAATGCCGAAAGTTTCTTTATACTTCTTCTTGACGTCAGACAGAAGGAAATCTTCTGCTGTTGGATAGTTTTTGTCAAGACTTCATTGTAAATGACCAAAAATATATTTTATGTTAGAATGTTAGATCTAACATGTTTTCTAACACGTTTTCTAACATGGTCTAAAACACACAAAACTCATGAATTTTCAAGACTTCATCGAACTTAAATGTTTTGTCAAGACTTCATTGTAAATGACCAAAAATATATTTTATGTTAGAATGTTAGATCTAACACGTTTTCTAACACGTTTTCTCACATAACTATTTACAAGCGTTTTACATGGTATATGTTGCGATGGTTCATGACTTTAAACAGTTTTGTAGCCTCTATTTCTTCTTTTAGTACATCGAATGTTTTAACAATGCCGAAAGTTTCTTTATATTTCTTCTTGACGTCAGATAGAAGGAAATCTTCTGCTGTTGGATAGTTTTTGTTCAGAAATTCTAACATGTCCATTTTATCTTCTGCTGGTTTTTCTGCTTCTTTCTTTAAATCTGCATAGTCGTTTCTCATTCTTTCTATCTCTTTGACGGAGTAGTTATATCTCCTCATTGCTGCTTTACATTTAGAACATTGCGGGTTCATTTTTGCGTTATATTCTGAAACCTTACCTGCTAAAACAACTAAAGCGTCAATGGTTTTCTTTAACTCAAAAGTTGCTGGTCTTATCTGTTTATTCCATACTTTACCTCTTCTATCTTCATCTCTTATCTGCCATACACATTCAGCAACTAACGAAACAAAGTTGTCGTAGGTCTTAAATTCTTCAGATTTATATATGTCAGAGATGTTCTTATATACCATGTCGCAATCTTTGTCCATAACCTTATGGTTGCAATGAAATCCTAGAAACTCATAGTTTACCTTTCGTATGAACTTCTTTATTTCTACTGAGTCAGTTGCTTTGACTTCAATTTCGTCGAATTCAGGAATAGTGAGTTTTTGTTGCTGAATTTCAGGTAGTTTAGGCAAATGGTCGATGAGGTCCTGCATTTCATAAAGATACTGTTCATTTGTTTCATCTTTCGCACTACAGTCTAAATTACTTGTTAAAAGTTCTTGCTTTATCTTCTGGATTTTTGTTTCGAAAGTATATGAAGAAGGAATGAAGCTTTTCATCTCTACTAACATAGATGTTGGATTCATGACTAACGAGTTTGGTGCTGTTGTTTGAAGTGTTGTTGTGCCGATTGTTGACATTTTTATTTTTTTATACAAAATAAAAAAAATAAAAAAAATAAAACTAACTTTATTTTTTATTTCGGGAAAATTCATGAAAATTCAAGAGGTTAGAAAAAACAGGTGAAAAAACATTTACGAAGAAGTCTTGACAAATCATTTACGATGAAATCATGACAAAACATTTACACTCATTACGAAGAAGTCTTGACAAAACATGTACGATGAAGTCATGACAAAACATGTACGAAGAAGTCATGACAAAACATTTACGAAGAAGTCATGACACTTTTTCATTAGATAACTGTTATTTTTTGACGAAGTGAACATTGACACTTCGTCAAAAAAATCCCTGAAATCATATCTTACATACAAAAAAATACAAAATAAAACTAACTTTATTTTTTCTGTCTTAAGGAAATTCATGAAAATTCATGAGGTTAGAAAACATGTTAGAAAACATGTTAGATCTAACATTCTAACATAAACTTTATTTTTGGGTCCTTTACACTCATTACGAAGAAGTCATGACAAAACATTTACGAAGAAGTCTTGACACTTTTTCATTAGATAACTGTTATTTTTTGACGAAGTGAACATTGACACTTCGTCAAAAAAATCCCTGAAATCATATCTTACATACAAAAAAATACAAAAAATGACACTTTTTCATTAGATAACTGTTATTTTTTGACGAAGTGAACATTGACACTTCGTCAAAAAAATCCCTGAAATCATATCTTACATACAAAAAAATACAAAAAAACTAACTTTATTTTTTCTATCTTAAGGAAATTCATGAAAATTCATGAGGTTAGAAAACATGTTAGAAAACATGTTAGATCTAACATTCTAACATAAACTTTATTTTTGGGTCCTTTACACTCATTACGAAGAAGTCTTGACAAAACATTTACGAAGAAGTCTTGACAAAACATGTACGATGAAGTCATGACAAAACATATACGAAGAAGTCTTGACAAAACATTTACGATGAAATCATGAAAATTCAAGAGGGTAGAAAAGAGGTTAGATCTAACCTTCTACCCTAAATTATATTTTTTGGTCCGGGAACAACTTTCTCTCAATAGGGGCTGTAGCGTACTCTTTGCGTAAGCGGTTCAGACCTTCTTCGAACTCTTGGTCTCTCTTCGATTTGGATTGAGATTGGAATTGCTGGGGTGGAGCTTGCTGGAACATCCAAGGGTTGGGGAAGTAAGGCATAGGCAGAGGAGGGTAGTTCGGGAAGCCTTGTGGTGGGTAGTAACCTTGAAGTGGAAATTGGTAGTAAATCGGAGGTACTTGCTGGAACTGAGGTGCAGGGGCTGGTGCTTTAGGTTCCTCTGGTTTGGGAATGGACTGGGTTGGTGGTACGTCGGACATTGTTCTGAAACAGTACAAGACTAGTTCTGAAACAGTACAAGTATTGTTCTGAAACAGTACAAATATTGTTCTGAAACAGTACAAATATTGTTCTGAAACAGTACAAGTATTGTTCTGAAACAGTACAAGTATTGTTCTGAAACAGTACAAGTATTGTTCTGAAACAGTACAAGTATTGTTCTGAAACAGAAAATTTTTCTCACAAATTGAGAGCTTTTACGGGAAATTTGTTCTGAAAAAGTTCAAGTCTTGTTCTGAAAAAGTACAAGTATTGTTCTGAAACAGTACAAGTATTGTTCTGAAAAAGTACAAGACTAGTTCTGAAACAGTACAAGTATTGTTCTGAAAAAGTACAAGACTAGTTCTGAAACAGAACAATGGACAACATCGAGCCATTAGATGAGGCAATTTACCTTATAGAGATAAATGAAGTTGTTAAGCAGTACTTGGGCAAGGACAAAGCCAACAAGTCCCTCGGCTGCTGGTTGTCTGGAAGGGCTGCCTTGAATCTCGAGATTTCGACTGGAATTCCAATTCAAATACCAGAAAACACTCCTGTAGACGACATAAAGGAGATGAAGAAAGAAGCCATTATAAAGTTCTTTGCCAAGCGTCCTTGGATACTACTTCCAAACAAGGAGAACCCCCTACCCATATGAAATTGGCAATTCAGTCTCTCCTTCGCTTCTCAGGACAACCATTCTACATAACCTGTGAAGGCGACATCCAACCAGTTCAGTAAACCTTAACGTTTAACTGCACTTTTTTATGTTTTTTGTGAAAGTGTCAAAAATAAATTGTTTTCAATGAGTTTTCTCACGATGTTAGAAAAAATGTTATTTTTCTAATATCTTCACATTCAATACTTTTTCAGCACTTTTCCGTAGTTATATATGAAAGACAATTCGAGATAAAAGTCATAGTACAAATGGAATAATATGTTGCACACCATTTGTTGTGAACCAAACTTGAAAGTCAGAGAAACTGTTACTAGGTGGTTCGTAGAAATTTAGAAGCAAAGTCATAAAAGTCCTTACCAAATACATAGAAAAACTATTGTTGCTTGAACTGAAACTTGCATGACACATAACATTTTGAGGTCAAACACGTTTCTATAAACTGTCAAATCTGCTGGTGGAAGTATAAATTGAAATGGACCATCTGGTGGTAATGGTTCGTTCTGGTTTAGTAACCGAGAAATTGTGCCAAGAACGTTTGTCTACTTTCCAAAATAAAAACTCTGTATCTCTTGGAGGGTTTAATTTCAATCTTTGAAATGAAACGGTGGAGTTCATCTTGTCATATTCTAGTTTCAGATAGTATGTTCCATTTAGTAAAGAGTCGTATTTTTCTTGAAATTCCCAATAATATTTGTTCATTTGAGTTTGAAAGTCATTTAGAGTTTTCTCAAGACTTTCGTCTGAACGAACTGTAAAGATTCTCATTTCGTCAAATTTGTCTATTAGACCATCAGAACCTTTATACTGCCCATGAAAATATACTGCGAACATAAATGCGTTAGTTCTATTTGAAAACAAAACTCTTCTAAATCCTATTGCCTTTGCATCTGAAGGACTTTGAAGCCAACGAATTGGATAGTCAAACCTGTATACTCGGGATGAAATTTTCTTCATCTGAAATAGTCCTACCAGCATTTGTAAAGATATAGTCTAACGGTTTTGTATCTGCTACTTTTGTTCTTTGTTTTTAACCTGAAGCATTTAATATATGTAAAAATATATTGTTTTAAAATGGTATGCCATTTCATATTTCTCATCTAACAAACAAGTTTCCCAACGGTCTTCTCCAACAAACTCAGCGTACATTTCAAATAATAAAAAAATGTCACTTTTTAAAAATAAATTTTTACTTCATGCAATGTTTAACACATCGAAAGGCATGTCCATAAGACGTTCTTCTTCTAACCTCTCTAGTCTGTTTGGATAATTGGCACGTGCTGTTTCCAAATCCATTTCGTAGCGAAGACCAGACAATTTGTCATAGACTTTTATGGGTCTTCCTTTCTATATTTAAACTTCTTCGAAACTCTCCAACCATATCTTTGTAACTCTGCTTTTATTCTAGCAGATTTTCTATCCATTCTATATGGGGGCATTTTTTATAAAAATAAAAAAATATTTTTTTCTTTACTTTACATAACCGCCTGCTGCCATAAGTCTTTGACGCCAACCCATACCAGCTAATGAAGGTTGACTTGGTTTAGTTTGGAAACTAAACTTTGGTTTTGGTTTATCTTCAGTTTTTGGTTTTTCTTCTTCTATCGGTTTTTCGTCACTTTTCGGTTTCTCTGACTTTACTTCACTTGCAGGAACAGTTGTGTCGTCAACATCTTCATAAATATCATATGCCATTTGTTTTTGTTTTCCTTTCAACTTTTTGTGTTTGTTGTAAAGTTTAGAATATTTCGACTCTAAGTCAATGAGATGTTCTATAATGAACTGTTGGTCAGTGAAGTAAACTTTTCCATCTGTTGTCTCGAAAGCTCCTTCAGACTTCAATATTTTATTTGTGAGAGTCTGTTTCTTTTTTGAGATACTTGCCGTTCCATTTTTATGAAAAGTGACTTTGTAGTTAGGGTTTGTATTTCCAGACCTGGCACTTTCTATTATTGAATTTTTCTCTTCATCTGTAAGTTCTTTGACAGGTTTTGACAATGGTTCTGAACTTTTTGTTTGTGGTGTCAAATCTACCGTTTCAACTTCTTCGGTCATTTCATCTCAGTAAAAAATTTTAGTTTGGTTTGTTTTCAACTGGTTGTTTTAGTTTTTTAAGTCGGTCTAAAACTTCCTGAGGTATAGGAAGAACTTGACAAACACGTTGTGTAACTGCTGGAAGCCGACAAATCCATCTTGAACCCATTTGTCTCAATGCTGTATTGTTCATTTCATCTCAGTAAAAAACTTTACATTCCCACGTTTGAGGCGGTTGAGGTTGGTTATTGTTTACCCATTGTTGTGCATGGTTATATCCTCTGTTAAAGAATCTTTCACCTTGGTCCATATAGTGTCCTGCTTGGTTATAGTAGTCATTTGCTTTGTTATAATAGTTTCCTGCTTGTCTTCCTACATTGTCCATCCATCCTTGAACTTTTCCTCTTGTTTCAGGATTTGGAATAAGATTTGTTGCATCTCGTGCTACATCCCAACCTTTCTGTACAGTTTGTATAATAGGTTGTGCTTTCTCTTTAAGTATACCTAATGTACTCAAAATCTTCCTTCCAACTCCAAATACACCTCTGGCTATTGTTCCCACTGCGGGCAAAAATCTGGATGCAACTCCTGCTAATGCGCCAAATAAACCCATTTCTTATTAGGATAAAAAATGACGAATCCAAACAAGGACCCCTATGTTTCTAAAGCGACAAAGAAAGCACTCATGATAAAAATCTTTAGTTCAACACCAAATGCTTGGTTTATGGATATCTTGGAAAACATTCCGAGAGTTAGAACAGATGGACCACCATACTGGCTAATATTTGTCGGTCAAAACACAAGATACTGTGAAGCCATACCATTATGGTCCAAAAATATTTTAGATGTGAAAACTGCTTTGACAATATTCGTTGACAAATACCATCCAACAAAACTGACATCTGACTGTGAAAGTTCTTTCAAATCAGATGATGTAAAAAACTATCTGCGTTCAAAAAATGTAAACCAATATTTCATTGTCGACCAAAACCATTCTGCTCTTGGTGTCATTGACGGTTGTATAAAAATGTTAAGAGACTTAAACCAACCACAAGGTGGTGAAGCAAATGAAATGTCATATGACGACAAATATAGACACTTCTCCATGGCAAAGATGAGACAAGTTTTAAATATTTACAATAGCCGTAAACAAAAAGGTTTGGGAAACCACTCCCCCGAAGAAATGAAAAACAACCCTGACTTAGAGAAAGACTATATATTTAATAATTTAGTCAAAAGAGACAAACAAGAAAGAATGCCGGGCTTCAAACTTCAGAAAGGTGACAAAGTAAAAATAGAAATACCTAAACGCGACCCATATGAAAATACTATTGACTATGACAACAATGGGAACCCGACAGGTACTCACATTCGTGTTCGTAAAAATAGAAGAAAGTATACAAGAGAATATTATGAAGTTTTAGGCAAACATGGCAAATGTACAGACTGCAAGCAGAAGATAAAACTACTATTGTCAGACCTCGTTTCAAACTTGTCAAAGTTCAAGGTGGTATACTTTCAAAGACAGTTCCTAACAAATATAAGACAACTCCTGACGAATATGCTAAAGAAGTTGAAAATGACGACTAAGCATTTCTATACCATGCGTAAACTGTCATGTAAGGTGGCATGTAGTCTTTACTTTGTCCCGTTGTTTGCGTATATCCTGAAACGCGATGTGTATGGTTTCCTCCTCCCTCAGTGTTACTCCAGAAACAATTTATAGCAAACTGAACGTTGTCTTTAACATCATATCCTTTACCTTTTGTCATTGCTGACCAATCCCAATATCTATGCTTATGCCAACCTGCTTGAGATGTACTTAAATCTATGTAGTGACTATGTGCAGGTAAATTTTCACCTGAAATCGTTTTACTTCCACCTGTTTCCTTTGAAGAGTTTGCACAATACAAAAACCTGTCGACTATTTGAGTCCAAGTTCCAAACCAAGTACTACTTCTGGTCTGGTAGAGTTCATTGACGTATAAATAGAGCCTATAGGATATAATGTTTGAAGTATTTCTGTCTTTAATGTTTGAAGCTCTGTTTTGTCTGCTTTCTTGTCATATAAATCTTGAGCAGTGAATTTAGTATTATATTCATCCTTCATGACATAAAACATCTTTACATCTAATGTTTCTCATCGTCGTTATGTCGTCATCCGATGTTAAACCTTGTGGAAAGTTAGGAGGTTTACAATATAATACATCCCCACCAGTTACGTCAACCGTTCCTTCAATACTTTCTATAGCAACAGTTGTAAAACTTGTATGTGTATGGTTCTTATCTGCTTTCTTCTCAAGGCTAACGTTTAAGTCTGTTATTTCAGAAGATGTATGTGTATGTCCAACGTCACTTTTCCTGTTTAAGGTTTCTTGTAAGTTTGTAATATTTGCAATGGTATGTGTATGTCCAACGGCACTTTTCCTGTTTAAGGTTTCTTGTAAGTTTGTTATTTCAGATATAGAATGTATATGAGTCTTTTTAGAATATTCGTTTTCAGCTCTTGTCACTTCACTTGACATTTTATTGTCAACATATGTTTTGTCTGCTAGTTCAGGATGAGTATGTTCTTTTGTTGCATAAGCATTGTTAGCTCTTTCTTCTTCTTTTGCTATTGCATCGTCTACATATTCTTTGTCAGCTTTGTTGTCAACATCTGCTTTCAAAAGAAGTTCATTTATAGGTTTCTCGTTTAAAGTTCCTTTTGTTGGATTTATACAGACAGTATTGTTCTTCTTGTCTTGAAATAGAAACTCATCTGTTAAAGGGTTTAATGTCAGTTTTAAGTTTCCTTCTTTCAATGACTCAGATATCTTAGAATAGTTTGAAAAGTTTGTTGTGTTCTTATTTAGAGCTTGCATAATGAGTTGTCGGTTGTGTTGTATTTCTCTCATGGAAGCAATATCTTTTCGACATTTTTATTCTAGATAAAATATGCTTCCAAT